CCTTTCACGGAGTTCCGGGCTGTACGATCGCTCGATATTACCCACACGATCCTTCCCAACCTGCGCCATTTCTCTTCCACACGTCGTCTACCTAGAAATAGCCCACAATGATCTCTGTCGACGCAGCCAGTCTCCCGCCAAAATCGCACACGACCTTGCCTCCCTAGCCCGGACCATTGCTTCAATTCCGTCCGTCCGTGTTGTCATAGTTGCAGAACCCTTATGGCGACTCAAATCTCCTGCATACATGCCGGATTTTTCATGACCGACTTGCGGCCTTTCGATCCACCCTCCGCCCACTCATTGATTCAACGCAAAAAGTTACTCGCTGGTACCACAGCCGACTTTGGCAGAAAAACAAAAATTACTTTGTTCATGATGGCCTACATCTGAACGACGAAGGAAACCTTCACCTGTTTAGGAGTGTTAGAGGCGCCATAATCCCACATCTAACTCCGTACCAACCCCAACATTCACAACCGTAAGTTGAATTTATCCTTTTCCAAATTATGTTCTGTCATCCGCATTTCGCGTCTCTTTGGCGGCTCCCTTTCGCTCACAGGTAGTGAGCTGTCCTGGTGGCCCTGATCTATATGTTGTCAGTTACTTAGCACAGTGTGCATATTTTGAACATTGATTAACATGAGTGTACAACTGATGTACCATGTAACCCCAAGGGGATTCTCTTGCTAAGTTTGAGACCGGTGTTATGCTCTGATCAAAAGTCTTCTAGCCTACTCGGCTGAATAAATTATGTTATACCGCCAAAGACATCCTTCTCTGTACGTTATTTATCGCCCTGATGTGTTAGCAAGGAGTATGTGGAGAGTAAAACTCTGTTTGCCGCGAAATGCTAGCCAGGAATTAGTGGAGAGAAAAACCCCTTTTTGCCAGGCAAAAAAGCGGGTTTTTAGTGGAGCAAATTCTTGGCTTTGTTATCCCTGAGCCCAGATGTTTGTTGTTTACAAGGCCCCATTGTTAGATAAGGATCGGTGACAGGAAGAAGCCGCCGGTCCCTGATTGGATGTGAGTCGGACACTGAATTCCAACACAGGGGTGGTCTCACACATGTGGTTTCTCTTCAGTCGTGCGTTGGGTAGCCCTGAGACCAGAGGGGCCTGACCGAAAACGATTTTCCACCGTCCCGCCCCGTCCGACCGTATCGTGCTGTTTATTACAAATTGCTCCTTACCTTCCATAACATAACGAGTTTTATATACTTCCCGCTGACGCCAATAAATTCCATCCTCAATTCTCCACGTTTACGGGCAACACCAAAACTGCTCTCGCAGCGAAGGAATAAAGCGGGCTTATTTGCTGAAATCAAATTTGCTATTATCTTTCTATCTTACATGAAAATCCGTTATCCTTTCCTCCCATGCCGAACACCTTGCTATACTGTGTTACGGCTTGAACATGTATACTGTCTCATGCTCTCTTTATGTGCGCTGTCATTTATTTCATTTTATCTCCTCCCTTATTGAGTGAATTATTATGTTTCGCGCCATTATGAGCGTATTTACCTCGCTCTGCTCTTCTTCTGAGCGCTGATTTTACTTGCTCCGTGGTTGAGCACATGTTTTGCTCCTGTGGGAGCGTATTTACTTTGTATGCTCTAAAAGAGCATTGATATTATTTGCTCCTTGGTTGAGCACACGTTATGCTCCAGTAGGAGCGTATTTACTTTGTATGCTCTTATGAGCGTTGATATTATTTGCTCCTTGGTTGAGCACATGTTATGCTCCAGTAGGAGCGTATTTACTTTGTATGCTTTTATGCGCATTGATATTATTTGCTCCTTGGTTGAGCACATGTTATGCTCCAGTAGGAGCGTATTTACTTTGTATGCTCTATTGAGCATTGATATTATTTGCTCCTAGGTTGAGCACATGTTATTCCTTCTTTGTTGACCGCGTGTTACGCTCCGGTGGAGCTCATTTCCTTCTATGTTGTTATGAGCACAGATATTATTTGCTCCGCTGCTGGGGACTCATTTACTGAATTATGCTCTCACCATGATTACTCACATTCTTTGCCCCCTCTGGAGCTCCTTACTGTGTTTCGCGTCACAATTCTATTTCTAGGGACATGTGTTCCTTATCATGACCCTTCAATTGTTAATTGATTTTCTTGTCTGAGCCCTCAGACATGCCGCCCAAGGCCCGGAAGCGAAAGGCGACACCCAGCAGGAGTGCGACGCCCAAGACAGCCAAACAGCCCAACGTGCCCAAGCGCAACCTGCGAACCAGGAAGCCTACACAAACCACCCGCTCGCCTGAAGTCGTCATCGCTACTTCAACGCCCACGTCCCACGTGCAGACTTCACCCGTCGTTGTCACGTCGCACGTTCAGACACTCCCCACCGTCGTCACGTCCCAGGTGCAGACACTCCCCACCGTCGTGACGTCCCAGGTACAGACCCTCCCTACCGTCGTGCCATCCCAGGTGCAGACCCTCCCCACCGTCGTGACGACCCAGGTGCAGACCCTCCCCACCGTCGTGACGTCCCAGGTGCAGACCCTCCCCACCGTCGTCACGTCACAAGTGCAGACCCTGCCCGCCGTTGCCGCGTCCCAGACGCAGACACTCCCTAGCGTCGTCACGTCCCACGTGCAGACGTCGCCTGCTGTCATCTCTTCAGCGCCGGCCTTGCCTCCAGCCTGCCTGGACACACCAGCGAACGCCATGGCAGCTGCCATATTAGGTACTTCTCTTCCTATAGCTCCTGGGACCTCATCCCAGATCCCCCCAACATTTGTGAAGCCGGCTGGCCATTCACAGGTGTCGTTTGCTTCCACGTCCGCTAGCCCCACCATCCATCTCCCCCTAGACTCCGGGGTATCCGCCCCCATGAAAGAAAAAATCTGGGCTGACAAATGGGTGGATTTCCGCCAGTTATTACCTAACCAAAATGTGGCGCCCCAGTATACAGTCTCACTATCGGACGTGGACGCATCCCCGACTCTTACGCTGGCCAGTCGACCAACCCAGACCAAATCCCCACTATCTCTTGACCAGTGGTCGGAAGCTTTCCTTGTTTTTCATTATGTTTACATACAACGTCATGCCGCCGCTAGCCCGGCACTAGTTTCTTACCACCACCTCATCCGCAGCATGGCTGCCAGGGGCGCCAACTGGCGTCGTTATGACGATTCTTTCCGCACCTTCCGACAGTCCTCCATACATACACCTTGGAACACACCGCACCTCCAACTATACATCGACGCTCTGACCAACTCTACTCCGACTGCCCGGCCCTTTCCAGCGCAGGCCCGCGCATCGGGCCCCCGACACACCGCTACCTCTTCTCGCACGAGGACCATCCCTAACGGCTACTGTTTTCCATACCACCGCCAGAATGGAAAATGCCTTAGGTCCGACTGCCACTACAACCACACCTGCCCCTACTGCTCCAACGCTCACAAAGCTTTCGTCTGTCCCAAACGCCCCAATCCCAACCAGATCTAAATTCCCTCAGGCCTGCCTCCAAAACGTAGACACTGTGATTTTGCCTACTCCTCTGCCCACGCCTGTCCATGCCAATGTTTTACACCGGTACCTTACAGGATACCCCGAAAGAGAAAAACAGTATCTCTGCTCTGGCTTCTCTGAGGGATTTCCACTAGAATATTTTGGCCCTCGGACACCACCCCCACAAACCCCGCTACTCAGAGCGCATGACCCTCACCACTCTGTTATTTCCGAAAAGCTCAAACAAGAATTGAAGGCGTTGCGTATTGCTGGTCCCTTCCACACGCCCCCCTTCCCAAATTTGTTTTTGTCTCCATTATATGCTGTCCCCAAAAAGACCCCAGGAAAATTTCGTCTCATCCACGATCTGTCTTCTCCCAAGGGTGCTTCTATCAACGAGGGTATCCCACATGACCTGTCCACAGTGTCCTATGCCTCCATTGACACCGCGATCAAGCACATTAAAACTTTGGGACCCGGATGCTACCTGGCTAAAACTGATATTCAGTCAGCTTTTCGCCTGATCCCGGTGCACCCTAACGATCACCACCTGTTAGGCTTCCGCTTTGATAATAAGTTCTATTACGACCGTTGCCTTCCAATGGGATGTGCCACTTCCTGCGCAATTTTTGAAACATTTAGCACAGCTTTAGAATGGATCTCCCGCATTAAACTTGACATCCCTTTCCCCACTCATATTTTAGACGACTTTCTGTTCGTTAATAAGTCATACATGCTATGCAACCGCGACCTGTCAGCTTTTTCGAACATGTGTGATGAAGTGGGTATCCCCTTGGCGGACGACAAAACGTACACCCCGGACACAATTATGTCTTTCTTAGGCATTGAGCTTGATACAATCCAGATGGAGGCCAGATTACCCGCAGACAAATTGCAGAAATGTTTAGAACAGCTGTCCTCCTTCCTTTCAGCAACATCGGCCAGTCTAAAACAACTGCAATCACTCATTGGCTTGTTAAATCACGTATGTCAAGTTGTACCACCCGGTCGTGCTTTCCTTAGGCGCCTTATCGATCTCACCAAATCCCCGTCCTCGCCTACGATACGCATACCCATTACATCTCCCGTCAAACAAGATCTTCACATGTGGCAAACCTTCCTCAGATCCTTCAACGGCAAATCATTCTTTCTAGATGACAGTTTCACTTCCGACACCACCCTTCACCTTTACACAGATGCTGCGGCATCGCTTGGTTTCGGGGCAGTTTTCCGCACTTCTTGGCTTTTCGGCGCTTGGCCCAAATATATGTACAACCTCAACATCACCATTCTCGAGTTTTATCCTATTGTTCTCTCACTGCACATCTGGGGGAGACTGTGGGAAAATAAACGCATTCTCCTACACACAGATAATCAGGCTCTTGTCCATGTCATCAACAAGCAAACGTCCCGAAACCAAGCCATCATGCCACTACTCCGTCACTTCGTCCTCACATGCCTACAACGCAATATCCTTTGTCGTGCTACCCATATTCCAGGTAAACTCAACGGTATGGCTGACAGTTTATCTCGCTTACAGATCACCCACTTCCGACGGGCATACCCACATATGGACAACATCCCGATCCCCATACCCTCCCATCTGCTGCCGCAAGCCTTGATTACACAGTGAACAGCCTTCTCCTCTCCTCTCTGGCCCCTTCCACCTTGCGTGCCTACCGTGGGTCCTGGCAGCAACTCCGTGCCTTCACTCTAGAACACACCGGACAGGACACCTGTCTCCCAGTTTCTACTAAACTAATATCACGCTTCATAGCATCATTGCACCAGAAAGGATTTGCACCAGCAACCATAACCTCCAAATTATCCGCAGTCAGCTTTGTTCATAAACTCCTCAGTCTCCCAGACCCGACACAGTCCTTTGTCACCCAAAAATTGCTACTAGCAATCCGGAAAAACCGTATTCCAGACAGCTGGCTTCCGATCTCACCCTCTATTTTGAAGGCGCTCATAGATTCCTTACCTACCCTGATTGCCCCCAACTATGACCAGATACTGTTCAAAGCCATGTATCTATTCGCTTTCTATGCAATGACCCGCATCTGTGAAATCACTGTAACATCTGATTCACAGCATACGCTACAACTCGCCAACTTGCATTTCCGCCCTTCCCCTAACGCTCCAATCACAGTGACCTTCACCACTTATAAACACAGCAAACCCGGACGCCCTGCTACAATAGCTATCCAGCCCCAGCCGGGAAGCAAGTACTGCCCTGTGGCCAGCATGCAGGATTACCTCTCACTTCGGGGGAACTGTGTAGGTTGCCTGTTCCTCCGTAGTGACGGTTTTCCTGTCCCTAAAGACTGCTTCGCCAAAACCCTCAAAACCTGCCTCACATATTTAGGTCTAAACGCGCAGAACATAACGCCACATTCTTTCCGAATCGGCGGAGCAACTCACGCCGCACAGCACGGAGTTCCAGAAGCCCTGCTGCGATCGATAGGCAGGTGGTCCTCCTCCGCTTACATACAATACATCCGACCTTAAACAACACTGCACAGCGTTACACTACCATGACCATCACACGGTTTGCCTTTACACGTCTTACCTTTACCCCGAACTATTTTATTTGCTTCTCTGTACGATTACCGCAACGGCCCCTGTTTTGACTATTCTTATGTGTCGATTACCGCAACGGCCCCTGTTTTGATCTTATGTGATTTCTTATATGTCACACATTGTAACGAGGTTCTACTCAATGTTCCTACGTGCTACAGCTAGGTTTAACACCATGCTCGATATGTGAGCCGAACTGCTCCTGATGTACACTGTTGTACTTGCATTACAGTTGTAGTGAGATGACTCTTTATGTTTCTCTGTGGTGTAGCGAAGTTATTCACCATGCTTGATATGTGTTGTACCGAGCTGAACTGCTCCATGCACTACTTTTGTTCTGAACTGTATGCAATTATAGTTGTGTTTTTGTTCTGAACTGTATGCTATCATAGTTTTGCATTACGGTTGTAGTGAGATTATACTTAATGTTTTTCTGTGGTGTAGCGAAGTTATTCACCATGCTTGATACGTGCCGTACCGAGCTGAACTGCTCCATGCACTACTTTTGTTCTGAACTGTATGCTATTATAGTTTTGTTTTTGTTCTGAACTGTATGCTATCATAGTTTTGCCTTACGGTTGTAGTGAGATTATACTTCTTAACTGTATGCTATTATAGTTTTGTTTTTGTTCTGAACTGTATGCTATTATAGTTTTGCATTACGGTTGTAGTGAGATTATACTTAATGTTTTTACCATGCTTGATATGTGTTGTACCGAGCTGAACTGCTCCATGCACTATTTTTGTTCTGAACCGTATGCCATCATAGTCGCATTACGGTCGTAGTGAGATTATTCTCAGATGCATTATAGTTTCGCAATAGTTCACATGAAGCATTATGTTACCTTTACCTTCCCTATGTCAGTAGCATATTTTACTACTTAAGCCACACCGGTATCTTCGCCTTGAAGCTTTATCTTAGCATTGTTGCACCTTTACCTGTATCATCAATGTTTACTACCTGCACCTATACGTTTGTGCCTTCGCTGACTTCCCTGTTTCCCTACTCTGTACTGGACTGGTGGCCCTGATCTATATGTTGTCAGTTACTTATCACAGTGTGCATATTTTGAACATTGATTAACATGAGTGTACAACTGATGTACCATGTAACCCCAAGGGGATTCTCTTGCTAAGTTTGAGACCGGTGTTATGCTCTGATCAAAAGTCTTCTAGCCTACTCGGCTGAATAAATTATGTTATACCGCCAAAGACATCCTTCTCTGTACGTTATTTATCGCCCTGATGTGTTAGCAAGGAGTATGTGAAGAGTAAAACTCTGTTTGCCGCGAAATGCTAGCCAGGAATTAGTGGAGAGAAAAACCCCTTTTTGCCAGGCAAAAATGGGGATATTTTTTATCATAACGTCAACCACCTACCCTCATCTTGTCAGGCAGCCACATCTCTACTCCTACTCTGTCAGTGTCCTGGTAGCTCATCCTCCAGTTGGAGTGCTTGCGAGAGGCTGTAGGGTCAAACATTTGTATTGCATTAAACCAGTAGAAAACATCTGTATTGAAAGTCAGTACTGAGGACCTTTTGGAAGATGTATGTAATGATATGAATATAACTAGTATTCAGAAAGTACAAAAGACAGATTTATAGTAATTTATCTCATGATTACCTCTTCTTGCCAGGCTTTCCCTGTTTCTCCGACGAAACCACCTCTCTGTTAAAAGAAATAGGAAAT